AATAATTTGTAATTTCTAATAAATATAAACAAAATATTTTAATTAAAGCGAACCAATGGATTCCATGAGATATAAAGAAATACAGTACAATCCGGTTATAACGCCTCCGCTTATAGAATCCGTACGGTTATTGCGCAGAAAATTCTGGTTCTGTGCGAGCTTATACGATTATAGCTTCTTTCGGGTATAACGACGGCCACTGGAGTGTCGTTATAACCATATTCTACTGTATTCCAGTCGCCTTCTAATGCTCAATATTTTGTGTCTTTCACATTCAATTATTGTCTTTGCTTTATTTGGAATCACTTGCTAGCTGGAGTAGCAGCATTATTCTATCAATCGGATACAGGGTAGATCAGAGTCGACCATACCCATTAGTGACATTCACATATACATTTAACATGCAGTTGAAGTTGATGTTCGCTGTCGCTTCTGGCGCTTCTGCTGCTGCTGCTGCTGCTGCTGCTGCTGCTGCTGCTGCTGCTGCTGCTGCTGCTGCTGCTGCTGCTGCTGCTGCTGCTGCTGCTGCTGCTGCTGCTACTCGCGTATATTTAGTCGTGCCTTAGTCGTGCATTTTGGCTTCTTAATGTTATGTTTGCAATTTTTGGCATTGCATTTGGCATTGTTTTCATAGCAGTTGCATTGTTTGGCAAACCCCCAACTTGAATACAACTTGTTGTCGTTGTTGTTGTCCAAGTTGTTGCTATTCCTTTTGCTATTGTTGTACATTTTTTGTCAACATGCAGCTGCACAAAAAGTTGCAAATTTATATATTTTTTCCGACTTTTGTTGCTAAGTTCAAAATTAACTTTGAGCTAAGTAGAAATTTCGTGGTCATGATCAGACTCATGGCTCAAATAATTGAGTGAGAAATCAACTTATGAATGTTTGATTGTATTGTTCCTTTGAAATTCAATTTCTTCTTGCTTTTCGTTATTTCACTTCTTCTGACACGAACTTTAATGATCAATCAGATGCAGGAGCTTTAAAAATCAATTCTGCGACCCTTCCTTTTCCCCTTCCCCTTCTGATTCCCCTTCACCTTCTACCTCTCCCACTCCTTCACTTCCCTTCCCTTCCCTTCCTTCAACTTCTCTTTCACCTGCCTTTTTCTCTTTCTCTTTCTGTTTCTCTTTCTCTTACTGTTGATGTTGATGTAAGGCGGGCCCTATAGACCATCTCTGTCTAACAGTTAGTCTATGATAGCGAACTCACCTGTCTGATGACTCAGATGAGTCGTAACGATCCACGCAACGTTTCTTTATGCTCTGCCCGTTCCCTCGCACTCCACGCTCTCCTCTGGCAGTTGTTGTATTTGTTGTTGTTGTTGCAGTCTTTCTGGCGCCTTGATAGAGCTGAGATCGCAATGCGTTGATATCCAATTTAGCTGCTGCTGCCGTCGGTGCTGTTTGCTTGGGTTTCGTTGTATTGTTGCTTGTTGCAGTTGTTGCTTTCGTTGTTTCCCTGCCCCGTTTCGTGCCCTGCACAATGCCAATGCTGCCGCTTGTGGGCGGGAGCAACAGCAGCCGCGTGGGCGTATTGAAGGACGCCTTTGGCGGCTGGGGCGGTGGTGGCTTCAATTCAATATTTGTGGCTCGAGCGGCGGGTGAGGCGAACGGGAATGCCGGAGGGCTAGCCGAGGGGGAGGCAGTTCCAGTCAAACTGTTCAAATTGACGCCGTTTTTCAGCTGATCAAACAATGACAAAGCTGCATTGGATGTTAAAGTCTTCTTTGCTGTTGTTATTGTTGACTTTGTTGTTTCTGTTGCTGTTGTTGCTGTGGTAGTAGGGGCCGTGGGCGTGGCTATTGGTGGCTCGCTAACCGTTTCTTTAGTCTTTGTCGCTGTGTCCTTCGACGGCGTGCCAGACATTTTCTTCACTTTGCTTTGCTCTTTGTTTCCGTTTGCTTTTCAATTTGTTTTCCTCTATGCACTTTTTTGTTTATGGTTCCTTTTGTTGTTTTCGTAACTGTTTCTTTTACGTTACTTTTAATTACATCCCGCTCTTGTTGATGTTGCCATTTATTTGGCTTACAACACATTGTCATTCAAATTCACTTTTGTGCCTTCTTCCTAAGCTAACTTTGCCTTAAGCTTCGTTTCGCATTTGCTCTGCTTAAGTCATACATAGTTTATATAGTTTTTTTTTTTTTTTTTTTTTTTTTG